GAACTTTCCCCACTTAGTGGAGAGAACCTTGGTTGTTCATATTGGACAGCCTGGGGGCCTGGGCTTTGAACAAGTTCTCCCTGCATCTCATGAGTTCACCCAGTAAAGCATCCAAAACCAATATTATTACAAGGAGTCTGTGGACTAACTTTACACGTGGCGAGAACCCTCTTGACATGCTAGGTCAAACTGTCCAATTATGTGCCGATTTTACAATATAGGCGTTTATTTACTCAGGAAAATTGTCTAAAACTCACCATGAGTTCTTAATATTTTCCTTAAACTCATCACAACTTTTTAAAATGTCTAAAATTCACCTTGTCAGTGTAAGTTTTATTTTCCAAAACTCACATTCTGTTAGTGCACTGTTAATGCTTCTTAATAGAGGTGTTCATGTCAGCATAAAGAATAATTTTTATGACCAAATTACCCTTGAATGGCAAGTTAGACGAAAAAAATGGTCTTTTCAGTTTCAAATTTCTTGTTTTTTTTACATTTTTAGTGTTTTGTTATAATTTCCAGTTTTTTATAATTTCTGTTTTTTTTACATTTTCTATTTTCTACAATCTATAAATTTTCTTGTATTTTTTGCTATTTATTTGTAATTTTTGTGTTTTTCTATAACTGTTGGCGTTTTTTCTACAATTTTTATTTTCTGATTTTGTTTTTCAATTTCTATAGTTTCTATAATTTGAAAATAATTTTTTATTTTGTTTGCAATTTATACAATTTTTTATATTTTTTGTAATTTCTATGTTTTTATGTATTTTGTTTTTGAAAATATATTTTTAAACTTTTTCCTTTTTTTCATGTCTAAATATTAAAATGATAATATATTAACACCTATTAATATATCTTATATTAAGGTTAAAATGGTAATATATTAACACGAATCCGGATCTCCTGTCCATACAAACTCTGCCCACGTCTATCCACATAACATTGCAACAACACATGGAGAACATCTCATCCACCTACATGGTATCATGCAGGGGGAGATGTTCCCAATTCACCGGGGTAGTGTGTTGTGAGTAGAGGTGGGCATAGTTCTCGTGGGCAGGTGATCTGGAGACTATTAGCACATGTTAATCTGTTTAATGTCAAGTTAGTGACATGGTGAATTTTAGACATTTTGGAAAGTTGTAGTGAGTTTAAGAGAAATGCTGAAAACTCATGGTGAGTTTTAGAAAATCTCCCTTTACTCAATTACTCTAGGCTGATTTATTTATTTACCATTTATTTTTGGGCTTATAACAGACAAGGGCAACTTTAGGGCCCTAATATCAATAAAAGTAATATTTAAAAAAAAATCAAAAATATGTTAACTTTTTTAAAATAATATCAATTAAGGGCAAAAACACTGTTCAGCTTCTTCTTCTTGCAATTTATTCATCAGCGCCGCCGCCTGCCTCTGCATATCTTCGTCCACCTCCGCCTTCACCTCCGGCAACGTTG